TCCAATGGTCCTATCACATCCTTGGGCAGCGGCAGTCCTCAGCTCTGGGATGACACGTTCCTGAAGCCCAATGCCTCCAGCTGAGGACTTGGCTGGACACCACCAGTGACTTTGGGCCCAGCTGAGGGACTAGCAGGGAGATGTGTAGTTGGTGCCCCGGCCCTGAGTGAGACCCAGGTAGGGAAGAGGATAGCCTCTGGGGTCAGGAGAATCGGACAGGAGCCCGTTGGAATCCCATGGAGCACAATATTTGAGCAGGGTGGGTGAAGAAGGCCAAGGCCCTGGCGGGGTGCTTGAGGGAAGGCCTTATGCCCACGGAAGGAAGGAGAAAGCAAGCTCAGCTTGGAAGGTGGGACAGGACCGTTTCAAGAAGTGCTCCTCGGTCTCCACAGCAGGCCGATGGATTTTGGCCTGTCTCCCTCCCGGGAGGCGAACCAGAGCCCCGGGCCTCCATAGGACATGTTGTGGCCCCTGGACTGGGACGGTTGGCTTCCACCAGGGTAGAGGGCGGTGGGCTACTATTCCTCACAGAAGTGGGAGGGGTGAGGAGAGGGAGGGGGTCTTAGGGCGGAGATCCGACTCACTGCAGGGCGGGTGCAAGGGGCGCACTGAAGCAGGCGCTGGGAGGTGACAGGGCTGAGCCCCACTCCGTGCCCGCCTGCATCTCCTCCCTTCCCGTTGGTTTCCCGGGGGACGAGCCTCGGTATCTGCCCGCCCCCAGTCTTAGGGCGAGGCCGCACGCAAGATCCGGGTGCAGCGGCTCCGGCTCAGAGGCGCCTTCCAGTTGGCGGCGGTCCTTGGAGCGGCCTCCTCGGCTGGCTGTACTCCCAGAGCCCGAGCCCGTGGCGGGTAAGGCCAGGGCGGCGGGACCTGGGCAGGTGCCGCGCGGGGCCTAGGAGGGAGGCGTTCTGACCCAGGAGGCGAGCGAGCGCCCAGGCCACCGGCCACTGTGCTGGGAACGAGCAGCCCCCGCTCCCCGTGCCCCTAGCCAGAAAGCGCTGCTGAGCCGGGGGCAGGAGTGGGGGAGGAGCGCGTGGCCAGGAGTGAGGGTTGGAGGTGGGGACAGGGTGCGGGCCTGGAGGGGAGGGGGAGGGCGGGCCGCGGTGGGGCAGTGCAGGGCCAGCAGAGTGTCGCCAGCCCTGCGTCCTCCCGTGCCCCCTACGAAACCAGACCCCGGGGCTCTGATGGCGCGTTTAGCTCCAGTACGGTCCCCGGTGGGGCACGAGCCCGAAGCCTCATCCTCCGAGTATGAGTCCTCCCTCCACGGCCTGTAACTGGACGACGCAGCGTGGCCTCACGTCCGTGCCCTCCACCCCCGCCCGGCCCCATCAAGGCCTGGGCTGGCACCCGCCATAAAGAATACCTGTCCCAGGCCCCAGCCCTTCCGGGGTGCAACCCCTTCACGCCACCACCACCCAGGGCCAGGTCGAAGCCCTGCCACCCGCACCCCACTCCTGAGCGCCCTTCCAACCAAGTGTTGTCTCCCCCAGAGAGCCGTTGACCCTCCTCGTCCTGGGGTGCAGAGCGCGCTGACCACGGCCCTCCTAGGCGCGGGCCCCTCCCTGCCCACCCACTGCTGAGCCGCTGCCCTGTCCCCTCCCTGCAGCCTCGGCCCCTCAAAGATGAACTGGACGACCGCGACGTGCTGGGCCCTGTTGCTGGCCGCGGCGTTCCTGAGCGACGGCTGCACGGCCAAAGGTGGCAGGGGGGGCTCGCGGGGCG